AAGATGGAAGGTAGGAAAGGGGATCTCTGAGTACACTGAGAATATTGGTCACTTGGGTGACATAGGCAAGAGGTATGATGAAGTTGGAGAGCATCATGAGAAAAAAAAAACAGAAATAAGTAAAAAACCAGATTTTGTCTTCTTTATACTTTTGTCACATCAGGCTTCTTCTCATTCCTTCTTCCAGGACAATAGTAAAGATCCTCCAAGGGACCATTGAGCTCCAGAGTTGCTAGTGCTCCGTTTAAAACATGGGTTCCATGTAAGAAGAGAGCACATAAGCCTACACTCACAATTCCCCTGCTCTGCAGGACCAAAGTCACCAGACAGAAGTGAGGGATACAAGGGCTTATTAAATTCCAGAATGTTTGTGGAAAAGCTGAGCCTTTTTACCATACCTGTTTCTCCTCCCACCTTTGCTTTGGAAGGCTTCCTTCATTCTCTCTTCCTCTGCCTGCAAGGTGACAAGAGGCAAGATCCCAGAGAAGGCTTTGTGGGAAGGGGAGGGTTAACAGTCAATAGAAAGAACTCATGGGCACAGGATAAAACATCCAATGTTCATCATCTTCAGGAACACTCTTGAAAAGCTGATTCCCCCTTTAGGGTGACAGACTACAAAAAGGGAGAGGAAAAATGTCCCTATAAATGATAGTACTCTGGGGACAAAAGAAAGAAGTCACATTTTCTTCCACAGATTATTTGTGAAACTGCCAGATAGCAATCTGTAATCTGAAGGCAACTATGCATTTTACTCTTCACATCATCTTATGCAATTCTGCTTTTGACATGAAAATGGAGTTGAGTTGGAAAAGAATAATTAAAATAGTCACATCCCAGAGCCTCTCCATTATTAACCTGGGATATCTTCATAGAATTTTCAGGTGTGTTTATGATCTTTATTTCAGATATTTCTAATTAATGCTTATAATTATGAGAGAAAAATAATGAAATTTCACTTTTTTAATAATTTTATTTATTTTTATGTGGTGCTAAGGATTGAACCTAGGGCCTTGCACGTGCAAGGCAAGCACTCTACTGCTGAGCCATAACCCTAGCCCCTGAAATATCACTGTTATCAGAGAAATTAGCCAAAATATGAAACAGGCAAATTATACCAATGGTGTTCTTTTAGGATATGGCTGAATATGAATTTTTCTCAGTGCAGCTACTATGTAACTCAAAAGATATGGATTAATTCATATAGTTTTATCCAGTAGAAATTTGAATAAGGTCTGTCCAGTGGGATAACCTTAATGGTTATGATTTTTCATATTGCGAGACACAAAAGCAATCTTGAATCTAATCCTGTGATCTATACCAATATTTATTTATATACAATGCATATAAATTACTACATCTCGAATGTTCTTCAAACTAGTTCTAACATTTTTTAGTTCCCTTGTTACTGAGTTGAGTGAAATCTTCAAATTGTTCATTTTACCTTTGTTATGAAAGTTATTTTTATCGTTTTTGAAATTATACTTTAATACTCTAGTATTTTTCATCGACCCTCAAAACCATGCCATGATCTGGTAAATCTACTTAATGGGACTTAATTCATTAGATACTTACGCCTTCACAATCTGAATCCTTACACTGTTCACTAGCTCTCCAGTTTTTCAAAATCACAACATCTCCACCTCCCTTCTGCGTCTTTTCATGCTTCATTCCTAGCTTTTCATAGGTCTCAGTCCACACTTGGTACATTATAACTTTGTAACAAGTTATTTGTCAAAGTTAGCTATATCTAATTCACTTAAATAGCAGGCAAATAGGAAAAAATTTAATAGGAAAAATTGGTTTTTCTCCATCCTTTATCAGTTTGAATGCAGATTCTCATGTCTAAATGTGATCTGGGACTTTACACTGATAAACTGAGTTTAACAGAGAGAAAAGGGCACTATGAAAATCCTACGAAGGTTAGTTAAAGAGAAAATAATGGGCCTGAAAGTTACAATACCATTAGTGATTATGCTATAAAAACATTTTTAGAACACCGTAGAAAATCAAATTATGTACTGTTTTTCTCACTACTCCTGAAATATGACACTATCAAGCAGTCAGTAAGTTTCTGATAATTCATTGACATAATAATTTCTCCTTAAGAAAAGTCTTTTCTAAGAACTGTGGTCCAATTTTTCTTCATTAGTCTTATATTCATTAAATGAGAACCATAAAATCAAAAAGAAACATTTCTAGTGATTATGAGGTGTGTTTTTACAAAATTTGGTATTTTTTCACTCTTTTCATGCAGTTAATCCTTTTGACTACTTCTTTTTAAAAGACAGATGAATATATTGATAATAAAAACAACAAAATTATACAAATTGGTGTGATTACATAATTGTAAAAGTACCATTTCTTCTACTTGCTGGCTGAATTAAATATCAATGCTGATTAATACAGTTTAGAAAATTAGCAATATTATTTCTAGATTGTTAAGAAGTATTGGTAAATAATGTAGAATATTGGTTTAAAAGGGAAAGAAATAAATGACAATACTTTTGTTCCTAGATTCTTTTTAATATAATTTAAATTTTAAAAGTAAGATGTTTCAAATTCTCCATAAAAAATTCTGTTAAGTACTAAAAATAATTTAATTAATCTTTCAGTTTCTATTCATATTCCAATGATCATCCTCAAGTTTAAATTTATGAGTAGTTTTGCTTAAAAATTTTAAAAAAATAGTATTTTAAAGATCAACAATCATCAATGTAGACAACTTTAAGTATTAACAATTATCAGCTAATTTTTTTTTAAACACTGAGATCTGATTTGGCCCAAGGTCACACTAATACATCTCTCATTGTCTACAAGTGACATTTGCTGAATATTACCTTAGGCTACATTTTTAGCATTCCCTCTGGCATGCTGAGATTAGATGTGACATTTCTTGTCCAGAATAAAACACAAGGTCAATACTACAGAATATAATATTATATTTTTTGTGCAACTTTGCATTTGCTTATCTATACAACACAGGCAGTTCATTTTAAAGCACAGGACTTATGAACCACCACCCAGCATTTGCTAAAATCCTTCTCACAGGATGCCACCATTGTCCCAGCCTATCTGACTACCTCCCTGAGCCCTCAGCAAAATCCCTGAGAAAATAGCCACAGTGGAGGAGAGAATTCTTCAGCTCCTGCTATAAAGAGGTTGAGGAAGATTCCTCCCACTTCCTGGGGAGGGTGATAGTTTCATCAGCAGAGTTTCCCTCTGAGACAATATTATAAAGGATGATTGACTTATGCAAATCCACAAGAGCTATCATTCAATTCTGTTATATGAGTTAAATAAGATTTTGTATAACACCAAACAAGTTCAATTTATTTATAAAAAATATTTGGGAAAAACAACACATTGGTAAGTTTGTAATAGGAAGAACAAGTTTGAAATGTCACAAATCATGCTTGGTATTTTATTCTTCTTCCTAAAATCTTAAATTTAAAAAAAATTAATAATAATAATAATAACCCACAATTGGCCTGAGAGCTAGCTTTGCTCTCATATTAACCCTGTTACACCTACTTATCCTGATTAGAGTCAATTAATACATAAAAATATACTTGAGTTTTGTTTTCAGAATGAAATGCAAGGCTTGTAAAATTCAAACAGTTTTATCACCCAAACACATGGATACTTAAAATCAGGTCAAAATATTTTATAAACTACCAATAATATCTAATAAGAAGAAAACTGTCAATTTAAAAGTTAAAATTATGATTTTAATTATTTCTTGGTATGGCTATTGGTACTGAACTACATGGTACAATAAATATGCAGTTTATTTTGCTTAGTCTAGGTCTTTTTTAGAAAGGCACACCTAGAGGTGGGTTTAGGATTCTGATTACAAGATTGTATTATCAGTAATTCAGATTATCTGAGGACATGAAAATGACACCTCTACTCTTTGATTTAAATATTATCTAAAAGAATAAATACTATTAGGAGAAACTCAATAAAAGGTCAATTAATACTCATTTCCTTCTACCTGTTGCAGTATGTCTTCCTAGGTATCTAGGACATGTGGTTATATGTGGAAGGCGCCTGTGCTACGCTACTTCAACCATCTCTATTAAATAAAGTGACTGTTAATATCTGGGTTGAAGCTACAGAGCACAGATAGCTCTTTATATCTATAAGAGGTGCAATGAGCCATCCAAGCTAACTCAGCAGAGAGAACATTTACTAACAAAATGATTGTAGAGACCCATTGATTTGATGGATGACTGGGATTGTATGGAATAGAGGAGCCCATGACAAAAATGGTAACAGATTTGAGAGCCATTAACAGGCTCCTTTTATCTATCCTGGCACGGTTTATTAATATGAGACAGGCTCCCTGTTTTCTCTCTCTTTAATGATACTGTTCTATGAACCAATGAATGTTTTCATTTGGAAAATAAGAAAGCATTGACATGTTACTTGAACTGTGGTTTCTTTAGTGATGCTAAGGGAATAAATATGCTAATTCCGTGCTTCAGAAAATGCACTGGGTAAGGCCCATTACTTCACTGATTTCAGCAACTACCAAGCCCAGGTGAGAAAAGGTTAACACCACATACCAGGGAGCATTTCACTATGCAGAAGCTTTGAATTAGAAATGTAATGTAAAATTTCCGTGATGCTTTGATATACTTCTACGTGGGAATTTTTCATATCAGATTCTGTGAAGGAAAATTTAACTCATCATTTGTTAATTATAATAACTTGAAGCAATTTACCTCAAGCTATTACTTGATTCTTCATAAAAGAAGCAGTTACTATGAAAAGCTATCACAGAAATCTGGAAATATTCACAAAATCTTACACAAGCAATTTCTTTTCATCTAGAAATAAAAGACAATTTTCCCTATATATATATACAAACATACAAAAACACATTCCTTCAGGAAATGGCAATTCCTTGTACACCAGGAAGGGGCTAAATACCAATAGAAGTGCCAACTGGAAAGAAGAGCTTGCCTTAGCTTTAAAACTGGAACGAAACAACTCTCAACATTTGCAAAACATTCCTTTATTATTAGAAATAAATTATTTGTATAAAAAATTGCATGCGTCAATCATTGCATTTATTTTTAGCACAACCCAGGGCTTCAATCCGGTCAGCCATTACAAGAAACAGACTCATCTTATACAAGTTGAACAATGAGGGACAGGAACGGGAGTTCTCACAATCACAGAAAAATACTTACAAGAATAACATCAGACATGGTTTATTTCAACAGCATATTTTTTTTTTCACAAGCTAACATTAGTTTTCCTTTTGTGATTTTTTTTTAACTTCTCATGAGGAAGCAATACTTTAGTTTGACACTCATTGGTTGTGTTTTATAAAGCGGGGTTCTTCATTCCCCGTTATTGATACTTTTGGCTCATGGCTAATTTTTGTTCCTTACTAGACTGAATATTGATTTGATTGGTTGTAGTCTATGGAGATCTCCAGGAGTTAGTTTTTGTGGTCTCATGTTCATTGTTTACGATCACATACCATATTTCTTCAGATTGTCATTTCCCTGTTTCAGATTGAATGATTACTGTAGCTGATATATGTTGTCTTGGTAGAGGAAGCTGTTGGGATAAATTAGGACAAATTAATAGCATACTAATAAATTATTTTATGATATAATTTTAAAATGCAAATCTGTGATGATAGTTTTGTGATATCCAGTTCTTAAATCATATTATTCATTATTTTTAAACTACCTACTAGGAATTCAATGATCATCGAGATAAAAAGACAAGCAGAAATTTTAGTCTGTAAAAACTACTAGTTTCATTTCTCCTTTCCTGAAGAATTAGCAGAAAAGTAAAAATGTAAAATGGTAATTTTTAATAAATTTAGGTAAAATTATATTTAACTGTAAATTTTGACTAACAAAGATTTACATGTATGTAAAATAAAAGAACAGATAACTTATCTGTCCTACCAAATTAAAAAAAAAGTTTTTATAATCTACACCAAAGACCTCAATTCCTTGGGTCTGATCTGATAACCAAGTAAAGGTTAAATAAAAATAACCCAATATGAAATTCCTAATATATCTATTCCCCACTACTAATTCTTTTTTAATTTTAAAATATTTTTTAGTTGTAGATGGACATAATACCTTTATTTAATTTTTTATTTATTTTTATGTAGTTCTGAGGATCGAAACCAATGCTTCACATGGGCTAGGCAAACATTCTAACACTGAGCTACAACCGCAGCCCCACCCACAATTCACTCTGTTATTAAATAACAGAAGCTCATTCCTATTGAACACAAATATAGTACGATATGGAATGTTAGAGGAAAAGCCTTTTTATCCTGCTTTTCTGCTTGGAATACACATTCAGTCACAATTATTTGTAAAGAACATCTTTCCTACTTTTTAAATTTTAACAAATACAAATTTAGTTTCTTAAAACTTGAAAACAAACAAAAAAAAGAGAAACCAGTTTGTGAAATTGTACCTCATTTCTGGAAAATACTTTATATCTGCCCATCTGTTCTATGGAAATACAATTTCTAGCAGTTCAAAGTTTAAGTTTTAATAGAGTATCAGATTATGTAAAATTAAATTTGTGAAGGATGTATAGAATCTCTAACACAGATCACAAATAAGCTGCTTTGTTGTAACACACATACACACACACACACACACACACACAGATTAACTAACTGTGCCTTGATCATGAATATATCTTCCATTTAAAAATAAACAAATAATTTTATACTCTAGAGGTGAATGTGATAAAATGTCAAGTACATACAGTATTTGTAAACTTTGAAATAAGTATGTGCTTTGGCAGTACATAATTTTGGTTTGTTTTGGTTTTCCAAAGTATACAAATGGAGATGTTTAGAAAATAAATAAAGACTCAAAGAAGGACATTAATATTTAATTGTTCTATTACTGACTTTCTCTGAAGTAAAACTCATTATTATAAGACCATTAGATATTGATAACAAAATATCCTGTATCAAATTTGTACTCATGTTTAAATCACCAGTGAAAATAAATCTACATACATAAATTCTTTTGTATTTTTGAATGCTATAATGAAATAAATCTGGATCCTAAAATTCAAACATGATGTCCTTTTTTTTCAATGAAATTTAGGAATGAATTATTGTATAAAAAAGTAAAACATGTTTGTATTTCAATATATAAATCCAATCCAGGGGGAAATAGAGTTTTAGAAAATAATTTAGTTCCTGAACAATGAAAATGATTAGAAATCACATAGCTAATCCTCTGAAATAATGGATAATCACTCCTCATTTCTTCACCAGTGATTGACCTGACAAGTTCTTATAGACATCAAGGTCCTACAATGTCCACAGTCACTGAAATTAACACATAGAGCCCAAGGAGTGCAAATCGTAGACATTCTCACTGATTTTTGTCATTGAATATTGTGAGTTATACAACAAAAACAGCCATAATTATCTACATTGCTCATACCTCAAGGTTGTTATTGTGATGCTATAGAAATGAAGAAGACATAAACCTGATTTTATGTTATCTTCTATTTTCTACAAAATGAATAACGCATTGGGTGTTTGTGAGTACGAAGGAAAATGGTGTCTAAAGAGGAACAGAAGTAGTTTAAAAGAACCAATGTGGAGTCCTATTTTTCAACTCACCCTCCCCAAAAGGTAGGATCTATTAGACTTGTTTGACATGAAGAGAAGCGAAATAATTTTTATATTTGTTGACTTTTTAAATTTTTTAAATTTATATAATGCTCTCATGTGCCTCCAAATTTCCTTGAGCTCTGTTATGAAGGACTTTCATATAACCTTTGTAGACAAAGTGAAGAATAATGATCATATATTAGAAAAAATAATCACTAAAAGTATTCCTCATCTTCTCTACTATTCAGTATCATCAACAATATCTGAAAATGAAGAACACATAATTATACAATTTGTAGAAGACAGAAAGGAAAAAATCATGATTAAAGCAGAGGAACAAGAACCAGAAAGACCTTGAAAAGGATGATATGTGAAGATGTCATTCAACCTATGATGTTGTGGGTCACACCATCTTTAAGAATAATTCTAATTTGGAAGTTCTGTAGCTAATCATTGATTCATTCTTTATTTTTTGAACATCCAAAGTAATTTTAAAAAAGAAACATGGTATAATTCTATTGAGAATGAGATTATAATTCATAGGAAATTGGTGTTAATTTTTCCATTGGCTCTAAAAATTAAGTTCTGGAAAAAATTTTATCAAATTTTTGTCAACATGAAAGCAATGACAAGGAACCAACTATGATTAGCAAATTCCTGCATGCATCTTTATTTCAGATGTTTTAAAAAAACAAAATGGATTAAAGATGCACAGATGAATTAATAAGGAGACTTTTACAGTGGCAACAAATATGCGTATGTGAAAATCAATTTCTCAGTACATCAATGATAGCTCTCCTTATGTGTACCACACTGTGTTCAAATGCTGGAGAAAGCAAAATCTACCTCCAGTAGCAGCTGTTTTCATAACTTATTCATGAACACAGCTTAAGGAATATCACATAGAGCATTGGTTAATTGGGTAGAATTGGAAAAATTCATATTTACCAACTTGGTTTCTAACTCACTTCACAACCTGTTCTGAAACAACATGTGCTTTTTTTTTAACATAAAGTATAGTAGATGATTGCAAATTCAGCAAATTGATTTTCTTTCCATTTTCGTATTACTTATGTTTATTCCATGAATTTTGAAAACTGAAATCTTGAACATGTGACCAGAATTTCAGACATGAACAAGTCACATTTAAGATGAGTTTTTGAAATTTGAGGACTTATATGGCTCTGTGACCATGAAAGAAAAGTATTTTTTATATGTCTAAAACCACAACTATTTGGTCAGAAAGAAAAAAAAACCCAACAATGGAATTGTAGCCATAATCATAAAAATCTTCCACATATTTACCAAAGAAAAAGGACTGCCAAAAAATAGTTATTGAATTCCAAGATACTCTTTCCTATTAAGTACAGAACAATGTACAGTTTTAACACAGCAGTGATACGGATACATTTATCCTCTGGTTGCTTTATAGTTTACAAAACCATATTTTGTATATCGTGATTTCATTGTAGTATTGATGCCTTAACAGAAGTTTGGCAGCAGAAAGTGTGAGGACACAGCAACATGGATATGGTTCTGCGGATCATCAAGAACAAACTCTACTTGTTTTGAGAGGAGGTATTCTAAATGTGAGGAGGTAAGGGGCTTGTTACCCATAATCCAATGGCAAAGGCTTCTCTGATATTCAGTTATACTTCTAAAAACAGCACATATTTTTAGAAGAAAACATTACATGCAAGTTATTAATCACACAAATACTTTTCAGTGGGTTTGGGAATTAGAAGATTTCTCACTAATACAAGGTACATGGACTAAGGGTAATTGAGATTCAAGGAACCCATGATACCCATGTCGGGTTTCTCGTGTGGATTTCCATATACTGAGTTACAAGCTTGGTTTTAAAACACACTAATCCACCCTTTTATCATAGGATGGTCATGTAAGTACACAAAGGTAGACCATGATGACCTGAGGTGGGACTATGGGAAGATGTGAAGGTTTCATATATTGTATCTCCTGAATGTTCAAATTACTATCACTTTAACCCAATTTACTTCAACCTAAACCACTCCTA